TGATGGCAAATTAAGCCTTGAGACCAAGTCATTAGCAACTGGAAAACGAGTTCTCCTTTCCTCAAGGGCAAAAAAGGCTGAATCTTCAAACCCTGCCAGGATATGAGGGAACATGTTTGCATTTTGTTTTTCTGTGATAAAGAAAGGGAAGAAACATAAATCGCTATGCAGCTTTCGAAAGTCATTTAGAAAAGAGAGCAGTTTGACAACATGGACCAAAGGCTGCACATAGTGTCTAACGTTTGATGTAGCAATTCCCCATAACTTGGGGAAATAATCCGAGATGTTTTTCAAAGATTTCTGCCCAAAGTTGTTTATTGAAGCATTATGTACAACAGTAAGAAGCATGAATGTCCAGTATCAGAGGGCATAGCCTCGGGTAGATTACACAAGACCGCATCATATAAACCTTAATAATCATGTTATGAATGAATGGGTTACTGACATGGGAAGATACCAAAATTTATTACTTTAAAAGGCAGGTTAGGGGCCGGCCCTGTGGCCGAGTGGTTAAGTTCGTGCGTTCTGCTTCAGCAGCCCAGGGTTTCGCTGGTTTGGATCCTGGGCGCAGACATGGCACCACTCATTAGGCCATGCTGAGGCGGCGTCCCACATGCCACAACCAGAAGGACCCACAACTAAGATATGCACCTATGTACTGGGGGGATTTGGGGAGAAAAAGGAAAAATAAAATCTTAAAAAAGAAAAAGCAGATTAAAATAACGTAGTAGTATCATTCCAATAATATAAAAAGGGAAAAAATAGAAGCTGTAGCCTGTTTTACTAATTAAATAATTTGTAAACTGTTCCATTTAATTAATTAATCGATTGAACAAAATGGAGGGGGCAATTCCATGCCAAGCACTCAGGATGTAAATAGTAAGCTGTAAAAAGTGTAATTTTCAGAAAAGTAAAAGCATGACTTTCAAATAAATATAAACTCTGTCAAAAGATCCCAGTAAGATGCTAAACCTGGTTTAAAGGGAATGTGAAGAAAAGACGCGTACGCAGGAAATCTGGGATGCAGAAGCAATTTGCAGATGGTGTAAAACTGCTCAGTGTCCTATAGAGCAAGAAAACATTATGTTTGGAATAATCTTTTCGGAGAGATGGAGGGGAAAATGTAAATAGCGTAGTTGCAAACAGGCACAAAGACCCCCATAGAGTCAGACACTCGAAAGGGGCTGCTAGACCGTGCCCGGGGTCCCGATGAAAGGACACCTAGTTAGTCTCTGTCCATTTCAAAGCCTCCCACAATTTTTCCTAACAAAAAAGGTCCCTATTCTCATGGAACATACAGTTGACTAAGCCACTGTATAAATACACACATAACTTTAGTGAGAGAAATATACAGGCTGCTGCTAAAGGATGATTTTCACAAAAGGGTAAAATTGTGACTTGCCTAGAATCATCTCAAAGAGTTTATTTATCATTTAAGGAGGGAACCAGTAGGATATTACAACTTATTCGGAAGAAGAGTCAAAGTACCCGACATGTATGGTTAAATAAGGAATGCTGAAGTGAGTTTGCCGGCTGATGCAAACTGGGGAAGCGTTTGATACTCGGGGCGTGACAATCAGCTCATCGGTGGGAAGGGCCTCACTTTTCTAAGAACGGAGTATTTGTATTACTCTCAGCTTCCTGCCAACTAACTTCTGTCTCTACAGGGTTGTAACAGCCTCATCAGAGACCACAGAGGCATATGCTCCTGGAGGATCAGATAGTCCCCGGAGGCTCCAGCATTCCGGCAGAAAGATATCCAGTAATCGCGTTTGCACATTTCAAACCCTCCACACTTTTCCCTACAGGGCTGAGTAAGAGTAAGAGAGAGGCTGTCGCTTTAAGAGCTAAGAGAAGGTGCCAGCCGTGAAGATTAAGACCTTCCAGCTAGATGGTACAGCACGTGCCAAGGGCCGTAGGTGGAGCCATGCTTGGAGGAGACGAAGGCCCCGCGTGGCCGGGCAGGAATGAGCTGGGAGGAGTGGGCATGTGAAGGGAGAGGGGTCAGCAGGGCACAGAGGATGCAGAGCCTAGAGGGGGGACGAGGAGTTTGGATCTCCTTCTAAGTGCAGTGGGCACCTGTAGGGTTTTAAACTGGGAAGTGCCCCAATCTGATTTATGTTTTGTTAAACATCTCTGGGTGCTGTGGGAGAAGAGCCTGGAGGGGGAGCAGCGGACCCGTCCCGGGGCTGTTGCAGTGTCCAGGGGACACTGGTGGACATGTGTGGCTGGGGAGAGGAGCCTGGATTTTCCCACTTGTTCTAGGATGGAAACACTGTGACCCGCCGATGGATTGGTGTGACGTAATAAGCAATAATATTGCATCAGTCTTGCCTGTTGATAGTAATGCTATTGGCTAGCAATGTCTGAGGCACTCCTCCCACAACCCCCTCACCCGTACTGCTTGTGAGGGCCCCCGCAGATGTGTTGTGGCTGGACAGGCCCTTGGGGTTCTTATTGTGATTGCAAGGTGCACCTCAGCAACAACCATCAGGAAACTTTGGGGAAAAAAAACCCAGATTTATTTCTCACGGGTCCTGGAGGCCACACAGCAAAGTTGTAGGGGAGAGGGGAGAGTGTGGACCAGGGAGCTCTGCCCATATTATGGTCCAAGGAGGGAGAGGCTGCGGTTTTGCAGGTTCGCTCTATTGGCGAATTCAAAACCTAAGAGAGGGCATTAGGGCGCAGGAAGGGACAAGTGGGGTCCCTCAAGCAGTCAGCTATCTAGGTTGCCCAGGGGTTTCTGAAAGGGGACCTCCCTGGGTGGGGCAGCCTGGCTCCTTATCTAATTGTTAGCTAGTAGCTGTGTCACACGGCTGGCAATCTATTTATTTGAGACGGATGTCTTTGAAATGGATGCCTCGGCAATCCAAAGCTGAACGTCAGGCAGTTACACTTCAAATATGTGTAATATATATATTGGTCTCTGCCCCCAGTTCCTGACCCCGAGGTCCTAAATCCCTTGGAATTTCCTGGGTGATAGGAGCATCTTTCTTTCTAATGAGGTGACTCTTGGTGGGATCTGGATGGCTCCTGGATGGGGGCTGGTCACCTGACAGACCAAGCTTGGAGCTTTCAGCCCTGTCTCACATCCTCTGGGGGTGGGTGCGTGTGCTAGAGATTGAGTTAATAATCCATCATGCCTACGAGATGAAGCCTCCATAAAAATCCCTAAGGTACCGGGTTCAGAGAGCTCCCGGGCTGGTGCGCACATCCACGTGCTGGGAGGGTGGTGCTCCGGCTCCGTGGGACAGGAGCTCATGCACTCAGGACCCGCTGGGCTTTGCCCTAGGTCCGTCTTCATCGGCTGTTCATCTGTATCTTTTATTATGTAATAAACTGGTAAAACGTATCTCCCTGAGTTCTGTGAGTCCTTCTAGCGAATTATCAAACCTGAGGAGGGGGTCTTGGGAGCTCCTGATTTATAGCCAAGTTGGACAGAAGTTTGTGGGTAACCTGAGGACCCGTTACCTGCCATTGGCATCTGAAGTGGGGGCCGTCTGGTGGGACTGACCCTTGAATCTGTGGGTCAGTACTGACTCCAGTTAGTGTCGGAATGGAGTTAAGTTGCAGGACACTCAGTCAGTGTCCACAGAGAACTGGAGAATGGCCTGGTGTGGGAAATCCACTCAACTGGGGTCGGAAGTATTCTGGGAGTACCGAGAAGTAGTTTTTCCTTTTCAATTTGATGTGGGTGGGGAGGAAAAGGATGAATCGAGGATGACTCTGAGGCATACGGCTTGAGCACCTGGGTGAACTGGGGTCGCTTTCTGAGATGAGGGGCCGGGTGAGTGTCTGGCTTCCAGATGTCCTAGGTTGAGATGCCTGCTGGGAGTCCAAGTCGCCAGCACCCAGACTAGGACTTGAAGGAACAGCTGTGGGAGTGGGGGCCTCGGACCTCCACCAGGCTCTCTGGGCCTCTCTCCCAGGTCCCGAGCACTGGGGGGCGTCCCAGTCCCAGCTGCTGCCTGACTGCCCGTACGCCTGTGCCTCTTGCCCCAGAGCTGTCTGTCCTCCTGGCTGGAGAAAAGCTCTGCACTCTGACTTACCCAGAAGCCATTCATTAGCAGTGATTAGCACCATCACTCATTTCCCTAGAAGGATGAAGGTGGAGGAGGAACGTGGTTGAAGGCAGCTCTCCACCCTGTGGGGGAGGCCGGAGCTGGTTTCTCCATGCTTCCTCTCCCCTGGCATAACTCGGCCACCCAGATCACCTGGGCACTAGGTCATGGCTCAGGATGAACCTGCAAAGGCAGGGCCAAGGGGCCCTGCAGATCCCTGCTCTGTGTCCAGCTCACCTCAGGAGCTGAACTGGGGCCCCTCATTCTGCACCTGCCCCCCAGTGTGGGTAATCCCATGCAGTCAGTCACTTCTCCATGAGCCCTTGGCCATGACCTCTGACCTCACAACCCTGAGGTCCTGCCCTCTCTCCTGGGTCTTCGAGTCACTGATGTGTCACCAAGAGTGCTGGGAGCTGCCCAGCCTGGCGATGGGTGCCCAGCCAGTCAGTTCAGCCAGCTTGCCCATTTCCCTCTGTCCTTCCTGCCAGGCTCCATCTGGGCTCGGCCCTTCCCGGTCTGGAGCTCATCTCTCTGCTTCCTGGCGAGGAGGAAGTGCAGTCCTTCCAGACTGATCCCTCAGTGCCATGGAGTGTGGTTCTAGTTGGTCCTAGGTGGAGGCAGGGAGTGTGCTCGGGTGTTGAAGAGTCTGGCTGTAGAATATGCTGGTCACGTGGTGGATGATACTCAGGGCTGTGCGGGTCAATATTTCACAGCGGGCTATCTAGGGGCTAAAAGACCCATTTTGTAGCATTTGCTGATTTCGTGATGTAAACTGTCCCATCAGGCATGGCGATTTCAAGATGCTCATGTGATGTCAACCATTGCGAAATTCCTGAAAACTTAAACAGCTCTTGCTAGCCAATAGGAGCCTGCATTAACACATCCCTTTAATAAACATGTTATTTTAAAGGGAAACAAACAGACAAGGCAGAAAGTGGCTCCACACTCACCTGTGATCAATTTAATTAGCCAGACATGAGGAGAAAATTATTGTGGAGGTGGGGTGGGGGGCAATAGAAAGGGTTTTCCTTCCACCAGAGGAAGGAGCATGTAGACTGGGAAGTTGGGAGTGAGGGTGAGGGGTTCTGGCCCCCAGAGTGAACAGTCCAGTGACATTTCTGTAGGAAGACTGATCACCTTTGTCTTCGAAGATTCCCAGCCAGGCAGGTGGGGCTTTTTCCATAACAATAGGAGTCACTGGGGAAAATGTGATTAGGAATTTCAGTGTGCGGCAACTTTTCTGAAGGAGGAGAAGGTTGTGAAGAAACCCTAGGAGAGTGCTCTAAGCTGTGGAAGGGAAACTCTGCAGGAAGATCACATAGAGACCTGCCATAGAGAAAGAGAGAGACCATTATTAAGGTATGGTGTAAGTACAGGTGAAAAAATGCCTGAAGGTCTTGGTGGACCACAAGAACCAATAACGCTCTGTATTCCAGGAAGACATTAGCCAAAGTGAAGACGTGGAGTCACCTAGCTAACACCTGGACCCTAGAAGTCCAGCCTTCGAAGAGTTAGACAGCGGGGCGCTCTGCGTTTAGAGAGTATGGGGTTGAAGAAGGGACTGGGGAAAAGGGATCCCTAAGACCAGAGAAGGAAGGCTGGACAAGGAGGGGGATGCTCAGCTCCCATTAAGGAAATGTCCAGAGGACAGGCAATGCTGTTAGAAGATGGAGAACATTTTATTCCCCAGAATTTTAGGTGGGGAGTGCCTGGACCACCCAGCCCAGGGTTGGCCAGCTAGAAGATGGGGAAGGGACTCGGCATGCGTGCCGTGTGAGGCTGGGTTTCTTGTGGAAGGGAGACGGGGCAGAGCTGGGATGGGCTGAACTGAGAAGGCCTTGAGGAGCCTGGGCAGAGGCAGAGGAAAATGTGAGGCCCAGGGGCGTGGGAGCTGTGGGGAGGGCTCCGAGAGGGACCCGGGGCCTGGGACAGGACTGAAGTCAAGTTTGACTCAAGTCTCCAAGAGGCAGGGAGCCCCAGTGATATCCAGGTTCCCAGGACAGTTCAGGAGTGTGGTTAGACAGGAAGAAGGACGTCCCTGCGGGAAAGTGACTAAACACCAGCCGTGAGCAGTGTCCTCCAATGTCCCTGGGGCCAGCCAGGCTGGGTTCCTGAAAACCATTATAATACCTCGGAAAACCCTGCCTGCAGACGAGCATAGCCTGGCCCGTTGCTCAATGGGCACTCAGCCGTGCAAGGCTGCCAGCTCTTCACACCCGAGTAGCCCTTGCTCGCGTGGTCCCGACAGGCATGGGGTGCTGACTGATCCTCTTCACAGATGGATAAACTGAGGCTCAGGTTGGAGGAAGAAGCTACTGTTTTACCTGGCTGCTTTGGAGCGCTCGGCTTGCTCTGGGAGCTTAACTTGAGTCACCTGAGTGGGGGATGGGGCTTCTGTGCTGTCCCAGGCCCTGTGCTGCACGAGCAGGAGATGCCCCAAGACCCAGTGCCCTAGCAGGTGTCGCAGAGTGGGGGTGGGCAGGCGGGGCAGCGCCACAATCTGGGCCACGCAGCCCAATGGGCCCGGTGTTGCCACAGATTTTGATGTTCACGAAAATGTGGATGTTCAGTTTTTTTCATTTTTTCAGTTGTAGTAAAATATACATAAGATTTAACATTTTAACCGTTAAGTGTCCGATTCAGTTGCATTAAGCACGTTCACAGCGTTGTACAACCATGACCACTATCCGTCTCCAGAGCTTTTTCATCTTCCCAAACTCCACACCCGCCCACTCGACACTCACTCCCCACCCACCGCCGGCAGCCCTGGCACCCACCAGTCTACTTTCTGTCTCTGTGAGTTTGACTCCTCCAGGGACCTCATAGGAGTGGAATCACCTAGTGTTTGTTGTCTTGAGTCTGGCTTATTTCACTGAACCTCATGTCCTCAGGGTTCCTCCATATTGCCACCTATGTCAGTACCTCATTCCTTTTCATGGCCAAATAATATTCCAGTGTGTGGATGGGCCACACGTCGTCTATTCCTCTGGTGAGGGACACTTGGGTTGTTTCCGTTTTTGGCTACTGTGAATCATGCTGCTGTGAGCATGGGTGTGCAGGGACTCAGGCAGATCCTTGGACACTCATGTTCACAGCAGCATTAGTCAAAATTCAGATTTTAAAAATGTGTGGATTTGCCCAATTTGAAAAAAACAAACACAACCCTGCAGGTCTAACAAAACCCGCCGAAGGGCTGGGTTCCACTGCTGGTTTGCAGCTCCTGTCTCAGAACACCCTGCTAGAGCCGAGAGGACTCGGGGGCCCCTGGGGTTCAGAGTGGGCTCCCACAGGCTCCCAGCTTCCCTGAGGACTTGTCTTCCCCATTCCCCAGCTCAGAGGGACCGGCCTCTCCTCGCAGCAAACAGCCTGCAGCCTCAGAGCCAGGGCCAGGACTTCATGAAAATCTATACCCCAGAGGAGAGAGCAGGTCCCACACTGTCATCGCGCTCTGCTGGGTTCCTCTCAGTCCCTCTCTCGGGATCAGAGGGATGCTGAAGGCCTTAGAGGTCAGAGCACCCTGGGCTCTTACCTCCTACTTTCCCCAAATCTCCAACCACGGGGCCCTTGAGCCTACAATGCCATGCTGACCTCCCCCCACTCGCAGTGAGAGCCGAACCCCTCGGCTGCAGGTCCGGACAGAGGCGCTGCCTAGGGTGACCAGACGCCTGGACGGTTGTCACTGCATTACCTGCCTCGCTCGCGGGCACCTGCCATCCACATCTCTCCAGCTCCATGGTGGCCCGGGGAGTCCCTGCCCCAGGCTCACCAGGACACAACGCTGCCTCCCGCCTGTCTCTCCTCACCCCTCCCTGCACCTCTGATCCAGGTGGACCTGCAGCGCATTCTGCTGAGCCGTCAGCCGCTCCCCCTGCCCTTAAGCAGACCCCTTTGTAAGGGGAGGCCCCGGAGCACCCTGTCCCTGTGCCCCGAGCCGGTTGGTCCCTCACACTGGAACGCTCTCCTCACCTCTTCTCCTAGTGTCCCCGACTTGTCCTCGAGAGCCCACTCCATGTCACCTCCACAGGGAGGCCCAGCCTGCGGAGTCAGCCCCCTCAGCCTTCATATCTCTCCTTTGCCACTGGGATCTGGTGGCCCCATCCACCTGAGCCTCTGCGTTTGCCCTTCCTGGGGACCAGGATGGGTCTCGGTTCCTCCACTGCTGTATCCTCAGCTCTCAGGGTGGCGCCTGGCACATGGTGGGTGCTGGGAGACTTTGGTCGGATGATGAGTGGTTGCCCCGTGCAGGTGTCTGGCCTGACCCCGGCACTCACCTCTGAAATGCGGTCGGTGAGGCCCTTCTTTGTGGTGAGCGTGGCCAGCTCCAGCTGCAAGCATGCGATGCCTCTGCAGCCCTAGCCATCAGGCACACCTCGCCGTGAAATCATCAGTGGCCCTGGGGTGGCCTGGCAGGGACACTGAGCAGCGGACAGCGGTGGGGGGCAGCCCATCCATCTCGTGCCTGGTGAAGAGCTGCTGAGTCAGGGTGCCCAGCGGGCGCTCAGTAAGGAGTTAGTTGAATGAATATTGAATCACACCTGGGTCTGCACTGCCTGGGTGTTGGGGAGCCGGTCTTGGGGACTCCTGCCCAGGACTTGTGCCAGGAAGTCTTTGCTGGCTTTTCCAGACTTCCTCTGCCTCCTACCAAGCCCTTCTCCTTGGGGCCCTCTTCCTGGCCACCATCTTGGGGACAGTAATATCTTGGGGCACATGCCTACCCCTTGGGTCACCTGGGCAGCAATCCAAGTCTTACAAAAGGCAGGAAAAGCTGGAACGGAGAGGAAACTGGAGAGGCAGGAGGTTGGAGCAGTTGGTCCCCAGTGGAATCCCTCAGACTCACCTCGTCCATGCTCATTTATTCATTCAACAAGCATCCGTCGAGACCCAGTGTGTACCAGGTACCAACCTAAATCCTGAGGATCCACAAGAAGTCTCCTCAAACCATCCCTCCCCTCAGGGGTCGCAGCACACAGCACCCAACTTTAGGGTCCATACCCACACCCCTCTCCCCTGTTCCCTCCCCAGTCCCATGGCCTCTGTGCCCACCCCCACAACACCTTGCTGACATTACTTGCTCATCTGCCTCCCACCCCAGGGAGATGCTTCCTGCCTGAGAGTATGACCTGTCTTATTCACCATCATGTCCTGGCACCTGGCACAGGGCCTGGCATACAGCAGGTGCCCAATAAACGCCTGTTGAGTGAACTGGGGAGGCCAATTCACCTTAGTTTCAGGAAGGGAGTGGGTTGGGGGAGCATGAGAAGCATGGCCAGCCATGGGGCACAGAGGCAGACCCAGGAGAGTGAGCAGGTGAGGAGGGGGCGTGCCCTGCCCCAACGTAGCTGGCATTTCTGCTGATGCGGGCCCCGTGGAAACTGCCATCACCTTGGCCGCTGTTTTCCTGCAGTTTCCCTACCCCCATCCTGGGATAGAATAATGCATCAGCTGGGGGCTGCTGAGGGCTCCTGTGTCCCATCTTTGGCTTGTCCCTGGGTGGTGGGGCAGGGGCCTGTCCTTGCGTGATGGGGCAGGAGCAATGGGGTAGGTCTGGCCTGCAGTTTAACCCTGAGTGCCTCCTGCCCTCCCTATGAAGCAGGGGCCAGGAAAACACACCAATGGTCCTTTTTGGTGCAGGGAGACTGACTCTTGCAGACTCTTGGAGCCCTGCCACCACCCAACCCCTCACAGCCCAAGAAGGTGGGCAGCTTGGGATCCCCCCAACCCAGCAGAACAGGAGCTGACCAAGCTGTGGAGCTCAGGAGAAGCTGTGGCGGTCTGCCTGGGGGCGGGGGGGGGGGGCGGGGTACAGTGAGGATCCACCTGCTGCAGCCCCCAGCCCCTCCCAGCACCCCGTCTGTCTGCACCCCAGCCCCACGGGGCACTCACTCCCTCTCTCCTCTGAGCCCAGTGCCGGATCTCCCCTCTGCTGACCCCCATACACATGCCTCTGCAAGGTCAACTCCAGCTTGCTCTCCAGGCTTCCGTTTCGAGGTCCTCCTTTTCTAGGCAGCCTTTGCTGGCCCCTCGCCAGGGTCAGGTGCCTCCCCAGGCTCCCAAGGCCCCAGCACCCCATCAGTAGGACCCTGGGTGATAATCATCTGTCCACTGGACCGAGCTCCTTGGGGCTCCACTGAGTCTCGGTCAGTCGCTTGTGTCCAGATTCTGGGTTCAAATCCAGGCCCCACCACTCACCAGCTGGGGGATCTTGGGCAAGTCACTAAACCCCCTAAGTGGACTCAGTTTCCCCATCTGCAGAATGTGCTAACAATAAGGGAATCTGAGCATTAAAGGAGGTGATTTCTGCCTCCCCAGATGTAGGAAGGGCCCAGCACAAGGTCTGCTGATTAAATGAAGGAAGGGACAAAGACGCATAGTCTTTCTTGGAGAAAGAAACTGGCTCCTCCTGAGCAGGATGGGGGTGTCCTGAGGGTAGGGCACTGAGTCAGGGGGACCTGACCGTGGCAAGGGGGTGCTCTGAGGGGAACCACCTCATGTTCCACATCACTGCCAGTGCAGCCCAGTGGCCCTTTGACCCCTAGGGGGAGTTGTGGGGGGGGGGGGTCCCAGGAGCTGGGGTGGGGTGTAGGACTGAGTACCCCAGCCCTTCCAGGGCAGCTGCATCAGTCACAGCCCCCTGGGCACCTGGCTGGCTCTGCCCAGGCTTCCCCAGAGCCCAGGTGAAGGTGAGTCATCGGGCATCTGAGTGACAGGGCCCCCAGGAAGGCAGCCCAGGATGGCGAGGCCACTGGGGGCCTGATTCACAGCTTTCCGGGAAGTAGGTTAACGGGATCCCGGAGCCCCGGACTGGCCCAGGTTTCCCGTTGAGTCATGGCAGGGTAGCCAGAGGCCCCTGGAGGCAGGAGCCGTTACTGAGTCTTAGGGCAGCCCCCACCTCCCCAAGGCCCTGGGGCCTCCCCAACACCCCACACCTGAGACCCAGGCCCTGGGGTCTGAGCGCCTTGCCTTCCACACTCGGAACCCCTTTCTTTCAAGCCGTGGGGACCCTTCTCTGCTACACGCCTCCCCCCCCCCCGCCAAGTCAATGTCAAGGCCATGGCCTAGACCACTGGGCCCAGGTCGCCTCGCCTGCCTCTCCAGAGGCCGGATCCTGGGCCCATAGCCGGGGTCCTGAGTCCCAAATCCAAAGGCCTGAGTCCACTGATCCAGACCCGAGGAAGGGGTCTCAGCTAGAGCCCCCAGACCCCCTAACGGCTCATTTCCTCCCCGAAGCCCCACCCCCTCCCCGTGACCTACAGCCCGGGTGGCAGGGACTGAGCCATCACTCGGGGGACTGGTCCGACGGCATTCCGCCTCTCAGGATAAAACCTGGGGCGACCTGCAGGCAGGTCTGCACACTCCTGTCGTGGCCAGCACAGCTTCCCGGCCGGCTGTGCTCCCACCCCTACCCGCCATGGCGATTTCCAGAACTCCCCCAGCCCTGGGTGGGGGCTGTCTCAGGATCTTGACCCCCCTGCTGCTTCTGGCTTCCATAGGTGAGTCCTGAGGACCTGCGGCCCCTCCCTCCTCTGTGCCTCCGTCTCTGCCCCTCCAGGATCACTTCTGCCCGCCCTCTTGACCCAGCCGCCTTCCCTCCAGGTCCTCCCTGAATCCAGTCTCCTTTCCCCGCTCAGCTCCTTTCCTCCTGCTCTCCTCGCTCTCCCTCTCTCTCTTATCTGATGGCTCCGTGCCTCGGCTGCCTCTGCAGCTGTGAGGATTAGACGCACAGCACAGCGGGCGCGAGGGACAGGGCCTAGCGCACAGTGAGGCTCAATCCTCTTCGGCTCTGGTGGTTATTTATCATCTTCATCATCCTCATCATCTCCCTCCCTCCTGTCACTTGGGTCTGCACGTTTCAATCCTGGGGCAGCAGCATCCAGGCCTCGGGCCTGGAGGTGAGGGGTCTGGGCCACAGACGCAGGCGCCTGAGAGGGTAGGTGGGCTCCCCAACTCTTACCCTCAGTATGAGACGCCCCAGGAGCTGGTCCCTCATCCCCCAGGCAGGCGGATCTGGTGCGGGCACAGGCTGGACAGGAAGCTGGTGGGAGGGTAAGGCACAGCTTCCAGCGAGGGCCTGAGGTTTCAGTCCGCCCTACCCCGGCTCCAGGAAATGCCCCGCCCTGACGCCTTGAGGGGTCAGGGCTGTGAGCCACTGGGGAGGGCCTCTGGGCACTGGGGGCCCCTCTCCACTGGGCACTGGGGGTTCCTTTCCACTAGACTGACACTTCCCTTCTCTTGTCCGCAGCCACCCTCGATGCTGCCTACACACCTGGTGAGCAGGAGCTGCCTTGAGGGGAGGGGGTGAAGCCTGAAGTGGAGGGCAGTGTCCATGTGTCTGTCTGTGGGGGGCAGGTCAGAAGGGGGTGCTGGGGTACGAGGGTGGAGTTGGAGAGGCAGGAAAAGAGGCCTGGAGAATGGAGCAGAGACTTGAGATGTGAGGCCTGAGAAGCTAAAGGAAAAGAGAAGTGGGCGGGTTGAGAACCTAGTGGAGGGGCAAGGCCAGCCAGAGAGGAGAGCAGAGGTGGAGGTGGGGCAGGGGGCTGCTGGGGAGAAATAGCAAAGGAAGGGGCAGGTGTGGGGCGGGGGGGGAGGGAGCCACAGGGAGGTGGGTAGGTTGCGAGCAGAGGCCCCAGTCCGGGAGGTGGGTCTGGAGTCTGGAGGTGGGTGAAGGGAAGCTGGAAGGTGAAGGCCATGGTGCCCCAGGGGACGATAGAACACAGGACCCTCCTCCAACAGCCCCCCCGGCCTGTGGGAAGCCGCAACAGCTGAACAGGGTCGTGGGCGGTGAGGACAGCGCCGATGCTGAGTGGCCCTGGGTCGTGAGCATCCAGAAGAATGGGACCCACCACTGCGCGGGCTCCCTGCTCACCAGCCGCTGGGTGGTCACTGCCGCCCACTGCTTCAAAGGGTAAGCACCGCTGGCTCCTCCACTTGATTCTCCAGGCTTCCTGTCCCCCATCCTGGGTTTCCCACATGGCCCTGGCTTCCAGGCCTCGGTCCAGTCTCGGGGCCCCTCAGGAGAGACCCTCCTTCTGCCCAGAAGCCTCTTTTGCTTTGCGGGGGCGTTCACATACATGCTGTTCCCCCAGACACCCCCTCCCAGACCCCTTCTGGCCACCTGTGGCTCCTGGCTAACCCAACCCTCTTCCCTTTTCCTTCTAGCAATATGAACAAGCCACTCCAGTTCTCCGTGCTGCTGGGGGCCTGGCAGCTGGGGAACCCGGGCTCGCGATCCCAGGAGGTGGGTGTCGCCTGGGTGCAGCCCCACCCCGTGTACTCCTGGAAGGAGGGCTCCCGGGCAGACATTGCCCTGGTGCGCCTCGAACACCCCATCCAGTTCTCTGAGCGAATCCTGCCCATCTGCCTGCCTGACTCCTCTGTCCATCTCCCTCCGAACACAGACTGCTGGATTGCAGGCTGGGGGAGTGTCCAAGACGGAGGTGCGGCTTCTTCCCCACCAGGCGGTTGGGGGTGGATGGGGACCGAGGGTCGCGGACACTTAGAGAGATAGGTACCATGGGCGCCACGGCTAGAGGCCAGAGGCCCAGCCAGCCAGAGACAGAAGAAAAGGCTGCAATCCAGAGATGCGAAGTCACAGAAATCTAGGTGGACAATTTTAGGTCATTTCTGGTTAAAAGGGATCTTGGGCTGTGTTCTGAGGCAACAACAGCCAGATCAACGAAGCTATTAAGTGATGTAGGAGTGGCTGAAAGGAGGCAGGTGTGGGGCCAAGCTGAGAGATGAACATGAAAACGGCCCTAAGACTCCAAAGCGGGAACAGGCGCCCTCTGGTGGCGGCATGCCACAACTGCAGGCAAAATTCCCAGGAGGAAACGCAGCCTCCAGGCCCGTAAAATCTGTCAAGCCAAGTGTGGAGGTTTGGAAATCATCTAGAAACACAAAGCAGATTAGACAAAGTAAGAGGAAGAAAATCAGAAAGAGAGAGAGAGATAGATGATAGAGAGAGACTGACTAAGAAAGGACAAAGTGTGAGAAAACGCCACCAGATTCCAGAAGAACTAAGAGAAATGACACCGGTTTGGGGGTCTAGGGACCCCACTGACTCTGAAGTTGCAGCCAGCCTCCCCATGGGCATCTTTAGGGGCTCCTGTGAGAGCTGGAATTATGGGCTGGGGAGGGTCTACAGACCAGCCCAGGGCAGGGCGAGGGGGATTTCTCAAGTCCTGATAACAGTCAACCTTGTGAGGTCCTTTACCGAACACTGAACCTGTAGCTGTCCCCATGCTGCATAGCGTAGAGCCTGAGACAGGAAAAGCCCGGACCGCCGATTCTAACCACTTCCTGGGCATGAGAGATCTTGTTAAAGATGCAGAATGTCTGTCTGCACGTTCGTGTTCCGATTCAGGCGGTCCAGAGGTGGAGCTATGGAATCCGGGTTTTCCACAAGCATCTGGGGACAGCCTGGCAGAGTTGATCCCTTAGCCTTTGAGAAAAGCCCCTGAGGGGAGTAGAAGCAACCAGGAGGAGAACTTCGCAAGCCTGACTCTCTTCTCCCTTCTCCCAGTGCCCCTGCACCACCCACAGACTCTGCAGAAGCTCAAGGTGCCCATCATTGACTCAGAAATCTGCAGCCGCCTGTACTGGCAGGGAGCTGGGCAGGGAGCCATCACAGAGGACATGCTGTGCGCTGGCTACCTGGAGGGGGAGCGAGATGCCTGTCTGGTGAGCACCCCACTTTCTCCCCCCCCCACCCCGTCCCACTGAGCTGTGTCACTGCTCGCCAGGCCTCCCCCAGAATCAGCTGTGACCCAATGGGCCCACTAGAAGCCTTCAGAGCCCAGCCTCAGCCATTCATCCATTTGTTCCAAGGTACCCTGAGTGTCTCAGGTGTGCCAGAGCCCGCTCGCAGACAGCTTGCACTCTCCTGAGGGGTTCCAGACCCGGCCCCAGAGCAGCTCCAGCCGGGTCATCACGGTAGAGGGCAGCAACACAGTGTCATGGTCAACACTGTGGCTGGGCGGCTAAGGCCCTGGCTGCAATTCCTACTCTGTTGCCCACGGTGGCCAGCCTGGCCAAGCCAGTCTTCTTTCTGAGCCTCAGTTTCCCCATCTGTAAAACAAATAACAAAACTGCCTGCCTCATGGGCTGTGAGGGAGAAGGCCTCGCACAGTGTGGAGTTCGAGTGCGGGGCCTCTAGGATGGAGAAACGGGTTTCCGCGAAGGGAACCGTCTGCCACGCTCCGTGCAGGTCTTGGAATCTGCCCACTCCCTGCCCCACGTGGGTCCCTAACCTCTCCTCCTCTCCGCAGGGAGACTCCGGGGGCCCCCTGATGTGCCAGGTCGACGGCACCTGGCTGCTGGCAGGCATCATCAGTTGGGGCGAGGGCTGTGCGGAGCGCAACCGGCCCGGCGTCTACATCAGCCTGACTGCCCACCGCTCCTGGGTGCAGAAGACCGTGCAAGGGGTGCAACTCCGTGGGCGCTCGCAGGGGAGCGGGCTCGCGGGCCGCCGAGGACGGGCTCCAAGGGCGCTGCGCGCTCCGAGGGCCGTCCAGGGCCGCCTGGGTTAGGCATCTAGGGGGACAGGGCGGCCTGGGACACCCCAGCCGCCTGACCACGTGGCGTTTCCTCCGTTGTAAATAAGCCATCTACCTCCGGGGGGCGCCCGCGGGCCGGCGCCGGACCGCCCCCGCCCCGCCCCGCCCCGCCCCCGGGCTGAGGCTCCACCCCCGGCGCCCGGAGCGCCTTCGGGTAAATACATGTTAATAATTTTTACAGTTATTTGTAACCCCGCCCACATATCTTATTTATTCCTCCAATTTCAATAAATTATTTATTCCCCAGTTCTTGTTTTTTCTCGGATGTGGAGACATTGGGAAGCAGAGGTCCATTTGGGGTTAAAATGGGGACAGCTGGATGTCCTGCCCACCTAGGGTTCAACATCCCAGCCCGCGGCCTTTGCACTTCTCTTTTGTACTCCCCTCCCACCAGGCCGGCCAAATGGAGAGGAGGCGGGAGACCCAGAGGCCGACCCAGAGGCCGGCCTGCGAGACCCAGCTGGGCCACGTGGAGGGCGGGAGGGCGTGGGGGCTGCAGGGCCGCGCCTGTTGCGTTTCCAGAACAGGGTTGGCTAGGAGAAACCCACCCGTATGAGAGTGGAGTACCCCCTCCCCGCTCCCCTCAAAGCTGTGTCTCCTGGATTTGGGCCGAGGCAGCCACGCTTCGGCACCTCCAGAAGCTGACTCACCAGGTGATTCATGGTCGGTTCTCCGAATCCTCCCTGCGGAGGAAGGAGCAAAACAGTGAGACAGCAGGTCCCTAGGCCCTGCTGCATCACAGGCCTGAGTCACCTCGCCTGCCCCCACAAGGATGGGGGTGACAGCGGCGTCCCAGGCCGCGAGGACATCATCCTGCCCTCCCCACACCCACTCCTCTGCAGCCAGGCCTCTGGTCTCCTGGACCAGCACTGTCCCTCCTCCCAGGGCCCGGGACTGCCCCCTCCCGGACCTGGAGCCCTGTCCTGGCCCTGCTGGGCTTCCCTGCAACAGGGGCAAACGCCCATCGAGGGTGGGGTCGTCCGTGTGGTGAGTATGAACTTCTAAGCGGTTCACACAAAAGAGATTCATTCTAAAACAGAGTCAAGAAACCAGCTGGATCCAGTCATGCTAAAAAAGAGAGAGGATGACTCTGCTACAGTGTCTCCAACCAGAAATGGCGAGTGAAGGGGGTTTGGAGAAGGAGGCACAGGTTTCGTGGGTGGTTGGTTGGTGTCCTGTTTCCGGAGGACGGTTCTGGACGGTTTGTTCCTATTGTTTGGATTACGCTTATGTTGTTCCCAGATCACAGTAAATGATGCGGGGGTGGTTTTATTAAAACACAAACACTAAACTGGCCTCCTGCTCACCTGGGACCAGCCTGGGGAGTGAGTGGGTGACAGGTGAGGGCCCGGCCCCTCCCGTCCGTGACCTCGGCCCTGGTGACCTGGCGCTCTACTTCTCCCCCCTCTCTCGCCTTCAGCGCCGCTCCAGCCTGCGTTTCTTCTCTCGTCTCCCTCCCCCTGTTGTTTCTCCTCCTTCCTGCCTCTCACTCTCTGTCCCTCAGTTTCCCCCATGCCTGCCTGTTTCTCACCCCACCTTCTCCCTCCCCTTCAATAAGCAGAGGACTCTCAAATGGCCTCCTGACAGAAGCCCCTGGGAAAGTGATGCCTAGGAACATCTGCAGGGGTGCAGAAGTTGCCCTGTAAATGGCAGGACGTTCCCGGGTGAGGGTGGGTTTCCTGTGAGTTGGGAGATGAGCCTCCAGGGAGCCCCCAAGCAGAAGGCACCCTTCCGCTCTCCTCTATGAGCTCGAGAGGCAGGATGGGCCTTGGAGTCGGGAGCTGGCACCTGGCTCCCAAGTGTGGCAGGTCAGCCAATGACTCCTCCCCGAGCAGAGTGGGGGGCCCAGGAAGTGGAAATGCAGTCAGCCCAGCCCTGGCAGGGCCCACACCAGGATCACAGAGAGGCCCCTTTGCTCCCTGGTTGGCGCTGTACCCAGGAACATGCCCCGGGTCTGGACCACTCTGCGGGTGGTGCTCACTGCTCTGGCTCCAGTGACACCACTTGCCTGTGGGGGCTGCAGACAGAGACCCTTGGGCCTGCCTGGCTGTTCCTCAAGGGGAAGTCCCATGGGGCCCAGTGGGAATGGAGCCAACAGTGCATCCTGGGCTCCCGGGCAGAAGTCTCCACTCACCTTGACCTCCCACGTGGAACAGCCTTTTGCAGAGCTCTCCTCACCTCCCCAAGGGCAGGGGTGGGGATCATCTGGCCACACTGACAGATGTCATTATAGCAGGAACCATCTTAGCTGCAGGCTGTGAGGTCTGGTTACTGCTCCTCCACACTGCTCCTTCCTCAAATCTTTAACCCCTGAGACTTTCATTCCCATGCCTGGGACCTCCCCCTTCTCCACTTGGCGTCCAGAGCAAGTGTGTAAAACCCGCTTTTAACTGCATGACTTCCCGCAGTGGCGGACTCCTTTGGTTGGCTAAGGCAACACCCATTCCAACACCCCTCCCTTGCTTCCCCCACCTTAGAGACTGGAAAAGCTAAATGCTCACTTCTCCATTCTTCCACATGGTCACAAGTACCTATGGGACTGAATGTTGGCTAATGAGATGGAAGCAGATGTCTGATGGGTGGTTTCTTGGGAAGATTTTGTTTTTTCCTGATGAAAGGGTCATATTCAGCTGGCATCACCCTTTCCCACCTTCCTCTTTCTTCTAGTCTTGGATGCAGATATAATGCTTAAACTTCAGCAGTCATTTTATCACCATGAGGCTACAAGTTGTGCTAAAATGACAGTGAACAAAGATCTAGAAGCCATGGATGTGAGGACATGGTTGAGGTGCTGCCCAGTCCTAGACAGCTGCTTCCATCTACACTTTTTGTGTGGTTCTAAGCCACTGTTGGTCAGATCTTCTTTGACTTGCAGCTAAATGCATTCCCATCTAACATACCTGCTTCAAACCTTCTGTTTTAGATTTATAGAAAACTTTTTGGTTTTTTTCCAGAAGATTCTTTTTGTTATTGTAGAAACAGTATGTCGGATCTCATCAGTACAATCACATTTAAATTATCCAAATTATGAAGGCTTTGAGCTCATACCTGCCCACAAGAATTTTAAATTTTCAAAGAGTGCCTCTATTAGTTTCAAGCATCCCCAGGTTTTTGTGTCACGCTTATTCAAGAACAAGTCTTTTCTTTCTCACCTTTCCTGCTCGAAATCTCCTAGTCGGTGTTGCTGCCCAGGAAGGCACTGGAAGGAGTGTTGCCATGGCCCCTGCTGATGGAGCCCTCATGAACTCACCAGTCTCCATGCCAAGGGCACCATCTCCCCAGGCTCCTCAGACTTTCTGGGCTGCGCGGGCCCCACGTGGAGGTGGAGAGAAGGGCTTTCCCAGCTCTGAGCCACACTTCGTTACCTGTGCCCAGATGGCTGTGCTCACAGTATCACAAAGTTGCTCATGGAAATGTCCCCTCACTGGGCCCGTGCGTCTGATTTCCTGCCAGCAGCTGCTCAATCACACACAGGCAAACGGGACAAATCACGGTTTGCAGGGGTGCGGCTGTCTCCACCCGTGCTGAGGGGGAATAATCGTTCTCAGCGCAAAGCCTGCCTTGCTGGCTCTTCCTCATCCTCCCACGTCTAAACGATGGGTTCCCCAAGATCGGCACTGGGGCTTCTTCTCCCCAACTTCACCCGCTAATGCTCGCTCCCTGGGTGATACCAGCTGGCTTCGTGGTTTATACCCCATCCATAGATGGTGACTCCAGAGCACTAGGTCCCGTTGACTAACCAACATCCCCATGTAAATACTGTATAGACATCTCGACCTTAACATGACCCAAAATGAATCTTGATATTCCTTCCCAGACCTGCTCCACTGGCAGCGTTTCCCATCTCAGCAAAAGGCAAGGGTCCCTCCTGCCAACTGCTCAGTTTGAAAGACTGAGCGCCCACAAGGCCAAGTGTCCGCGAGGACGCAGAGCCACTGGAACTCGCCCCACAGCTGGTGGGAGCGCAAAGCGGTACAGCTCTGGGGGAGAACGGGCTCTTTCTTGTAAAGTTTAGCATACACACAGCAACCCTACTCCTAAGATTTACCCAACAGAGAAGAAAACACCTTCACCCAAAAAGCCCTCTGCAAATCTTTATAGCAGCTTTATTCAGAATTGGCCCAAACTGGAAACAACTCCAGTGCCCTTCAACTGGTGAGCAGATAAACACACCGTGGTCCAGCCACTCAGTAGAATCCTACGCAGCAAAGAAGAACAGACTGCACCCTACGACTTGATGACTCTTAGGAGCGTGACGCTACAGGGAGGAAGCCAGACCGAAGAGGCCCTGTGCTGTAGGACTCCCTTTAGAGGACGCTGTGGGGAAGACAGAACTGGACGGACAGACACCAGAGCAGGGGTAGCCGGGGGCTGGGGTCCAGGGAGGACTGACCACTGAGGGGCGTGGGGGATCCTTGCACCAATGGAACTCGCTCCGTATCTTGATTGTAGTGGTGGGTACAGGACTGGAGGCATTTATCAAAACTTATAGGACTATCCATTAAAATGGTGAATTTTACCCTGTGTAGACTATACCTCCAGAAGCCCGATTTAGAAAAACAAAAACAAAAATGTGGAGTCCTCCTCGACACCTCTCTTTCTCTCATTCTCTAAATCATCAGCAAATCCCGTCGGTTCTAGTCTAGCTTCGAAATATGTCCCAATCTGGCCCCTTCTTCCCACACTGGCCCAGGCCACTCTGCGCCTTGTCCTGGATTTCTGTAACAGCCTCCTAACTTGTCTCCCCGCTCTGCTGCCGCTCCCACCAGTCTGTTCTCAGCACAGCAGCCAGAGTGGTTCTCTGAAAACCTCAGTCACAGCATGGCATTCTTCTATTCGAAACCCTTTTGATGGCTCCTCATTTTGATTGGAGGAAATGATGCCATCTTTCTGGCCTCCCTCTCACCTCCCACCTCCTTGCTCTCTGAGCTCCTGGCACTGGCTACCCAGCTGGATTGGGAACATACACAGGCATTCTCCTGCCTCAGGGCCTTTGCATATGCAGTTTCCTCTTCCCCCGCATGACTGCTCGGCCCACTCCCTCACTTCCTATAGATCTCTGCTCAAATGTCACCATGTGACCATCTTGTTTACAAGAGCAGTGTACCCTCCCTCCCCTCTTGCCTCTTTCCTTGCTTTCTCTCCTTCCAGGACGTTTATTACTATTCAACATCCTATGTATTTTACTTGCTCTTTGTTTATCGTCCCCTCCCAAACACAAGCAACTGGAAGACAAGCCTTGTCCT